CCAACAGGCCATGGAGCGAAGCAGTTTCCGTGACCACACATGGTCTACCTCCGTCTCCCCCCGACCCACCGCGTTTACTGAAATCGGGAACACGAAGTCTGCACCTCACTTGGGAACCGCAGTCCAAACCCGGTGCCTCTAGTTCTTTCCCATGCAAACCTATAATTCGCTATCAACTTGAAATGCAAGAAGGAGAGGCCAGGCAGCACTTCAAGAGTGTATACGATGGCGATGCAATAACATTTTTGGTTGAAGGTCTTCGACGGTGTTCCCTCTATCGTTTCCGTCTCTGTGCTAGCAATGCTGATGGTGTGAGTCATTGGAGCGATATAGTCGCCTTCCGAACTGACCCAGATCCTCCTTCAACACCTAAAGGTTTACGGGTAGGTGATTGTTGTTTACTAAAAAAAATGTAACAGCAGAGCTTGTTTACATGCTTCCCTTTATTAGCGCAAACATGTTTATACCTATATTTGGCTCGTGTAGTTTATATTTTTATTTTCTTGGAGCCCGTCAAGGTAGAAATCCATTCTAATTCCGTCTATCCTCGGTATGTGTGGAAGCACACACACACACACACACGCACAATCTCTCCCATCGTCGTAAAGCAAAATACGCAGGTGTTTTTACAGTAAGAAATACGATCTGATGGTGAATTATTGAGACGAATTGGGCACAAAGTTTCTTTCGACGGAACTCACCACATCAGGACGTCAATTTGCACGTTATTGAAAGCTAAGCTGGCAATTACAGCTTCTCAACAAATGAGGATCCATGGAGACAGCGAACTAAGCTATAACCGCTTCAAATTCCTACAGAGATCAAGTAGGTAGCATTTGGTACGTGTTAGGACACCACGGAGCTCATTAGACGGAAGTGCAATAAATCGGCCAGATTGGTAAGAAGCTGAAAGGAAGACTAATGGGTTTAAAAATGTAAGATTGTGAAGTTGGGAGATTAGGTTGGGACAACTTCTACTTTCTCTCTTGTGTCGACGAATAAAAAAAATGATCTAGATATGTATATACCTCAGCACAAAATAATAATAGCATGGACCATGTCATATGACCTTTCCGAGTTTATTGTGACTCATCGACCAAGCTCCACTTTTCTTTTGTCTTCCTACAAATTAAATAAATATTCAAAATATTTGAGTCCTGAGATACCTTGTTTTTCTTTCAATAATCGTATCTCTTTTGAGAAAAACAAGTCTCATTTAAGTAATTTGAGTTATCGTTTAATTCACCAAAATAATTGGCTTATATCGTTTTCACCGATGGTTCTTATCTAATATACTACTTAAAATGCATTTCAGCTTCGTGGTCGAGTGCGCCCTTACCATGTGAATCTCTATTGGCTTGCACCGGATGATGATGGCGGGGCTCCAGTGAATGGATATCGGTTAGAAATTCTCATGCCGCAATTACCACTTGCGCTGTTGCGCAAATACCCCCACCAACAAAGCGTCCACAGCAAGAAAGAGAATGCCCAGCGTCTCCAGCCCAATTCCAACGATGAGGATGAGATCAAGGCAGCTGAATCGAAGGGTTTCATTTGTTGGCCTTGGGTCATCTGTAAGTATATCCAGCGGCTTGGAACCTTGACAACCTTTTTTATAAATTTTTTTCCCACAAGTCATGTACAATTTCATGGCGTTTAATTTGGTTAGAAACAAGTTCTGGAGACCAGTTAACAAACGCGGAAGTATAGGTCGTACCTATTGAATGCGATTTCGATTTCTACTATACCTTCTGCAATTTTTGTTGATGCTGACAAAGATTTATTTATTTATATCAAATGGCAGGCGTTTTGATAGTTATCATTAGCCCTTTAATTGACTTCAGTCTTCACAGTTGGGAAGGAACATCAAATTGAAAAAAGTCGAGAGGGGGGGGGTGGAATAGAAGAGTGTTTCAAAGATGTAAAAGAGACAGACACAAAGGTAGAAAAAAGGTGAGGTGAGTACTGTGGAATTAGTCGAATATGACACACAGTGGGGTGTTGGTAGTTAGAAGCCAGAAGTCAACAGCCGAATAATAGACTTTTTTGCCGTATGAGTATACGTTACCCAGGGTGCACTACCTGGAGGTAAGTCTATCGCGCACCCCACTCTATTAAAAAAATCAACATGCCTTAGTGTCATCTGGTACAGAGTAACGCTTTTTCCCATAGTTCAAAATTTCTCCGTCGATTGAATCCCAGTATTTAACCGGCGTATGGAGCACTGATAAAGGCCCTTATCGTCGGACCTCCTGAGAACACGGAACTGCTTCATATATTCTAGTTAATCTACTATGCTTACTTAAGATTGTCCAAAATTCGTCAAAGGAAGACAAGTTTCGGTTTATTCAAACAATTCAGTTCATAATACCTTGATCTTTGACGGTAGACGCGAATTGTTTCAAAGAACGTTCATATAGAGATTTAGTTCAGCCTAAACCAAAATTCTGGAATACAGGAGTTAACGACTCTATATGGCAAAAGAAAGCACCCATTTCCTTCCATTCAATGCATTCTTGACTATATGAACTCATACAGCAAAGCAATGAGGTTATAACGCATTAGTGTGAATTTTAGATGGCATTAAAGATATTTTTGGTAGGCGCCACTGTAAAAGTCCACAGGAGGAAATGTAGAATTCAAAAATTCCATTCTCTTCTCTGGCTATGCACCGATGGCTTTCAATCTCTTATTCATTTTATCTACCTGCTATTTCTCGGGTGCACGGTGTTTCAAGGTACCAGCTGGATTATTTCATTAAATCCGAGTGCATGGCTAATAGTAGCTCATGCTCAAAATCGTTGCAAAGTCTAAATTAATTTAAGTAAGTGCAGAAAATGATTGGCTACAATGTTAATTAGGAACAAAGTAAAAATTTGGCATATAGACATGCTATCATTAAAACATCTACTAACGGAAAAATGAGTTCCGTTTACACTCAAGGCTGCATCTATGACTTTGTGCATTCCTATTTGCATTAACAAGATTTATGTAGTATCTTATCATAATTGAGGCGACGACAAAGGTGAGCAATGCAATTGGCTGCATGAACTGTTGACTAAATTAACTTGGAAACTCCACTTGGCATTTGCCGTAGCATACTTCGGTCGTTTGCCTAGGAATAGGTTGACTGTGGATAGTAGGACAGGTATATTGAAAAAGATGGTAATATGTGGTCCATAACTCTTATAGTTTACTTCATTTGTAAACTAGCATTTCCCCCGATCATGACGAACCCGATTAACTTAGCCCAAATAGTATCATACTAAGAACTTATTCGACTTTGATGCTGACTTAACTCCTTTCGGAAGGCCATTAACTGGGGCACTTAATCAGTTGAGTTCAAAGAAACTGCAAGCATAGGATTCAAAAAATATACCGTTCTGGAATTAAAATTTGTAGCCTAAGAATCACTGCCTAAGTCATTAGTTTCTTTCAGTTACCTGAGAGGATTAATGAATGAGTTGACATTCGGATTTTCAATAGTGAAATTTGATGATGCCATCCTTTCGCTTTTCTCATTTGACATATATCCTCTTTCCAACAGCAATCTCCAATTCGCACTTGAATATTTCTGTTGTTAATATATCATCTTGACAAATAGGTTGTTAAGTGTAGAAGCTTTCTCTTGGACTTCGCGCATTATTCCCGTTTCATTGGCTGTCTATTTACTTCGAAATAAAAGTAAACTATTTATATGCCTATGAAAACATTTGAATGAGTAAAACGATTATAACATTATTAATCTAAAAAATGGTCATATTCGCTTGAACTGGCCACCATTTCCACTGTTTATTCGAAGACCGACTCACTAATACACTCAAACTAGACATGTTCAAATTTAACGTGTATACCTGTTTTTGTCGATGTGACCAAAATTAGTACCTTCAACAAACGCCTCTCTGCAATGCCAATAATCGGAATATCGAATATTTGCGGAATTTTGGATAATTATCTTCTTCATTAAACTAGCGGAAAATAAATTGATTTAATTGTTAAAGTGTTGTATTAGGTGTTATAAAAATCTCATCACATTTGAACTAAGATTAATCTCTTAATATATTATTGTAGCGGAAACCAACTAAAACCATCGAACGGAAAATTCAAAAATGGCAGAGATAGTCGATCAAAAGGATGGCTACGTCTTGACAGCATTCGATTTTCAGCAATAATCATAGTACAGCTAATCGAGGATCCGATTTCTCCAGCAGTTTCAAAGGGCCTTCATCATTTAGAAGCAAAGTTCCTCTTGACTTCAAACAATGAGCCACGGGTTTTAGAAGTGACATTTAAATCATTTAAGGCGCTCAAGCCATAGTGGAAGAAAAGCCTTATTCACTACCCGTTCTGTGGTTTAACATTTTTGCCCTCAAGAATAAATTGAAATTTATTAATCGTAAATAATAAAATTTCAATTTTTCTACTAGAAACTTTGACTAACGTTTTTTCTGCATTCTACAAAATACGTGATTTCCTATTCCCAACTCGGGTGTTAATTGCGGTATTTATTTATAAAATCTGTCCATAAAGTCATTCAATTTTAAGGGTTTCTCGAGATTTGGGTCTTAATTTTCAACAAACTAGTGCCATTCCAAGAACAGAGAGCATTATATTATTATTTCCTATTATTTTTAGACAATCGTGCTGTTTAGATTTCTAACCTATGAAAATGTATAAAGGCAAACTCTCTTCCGCATTGAATGTACGCTTAGTTATGCAGAGTGCATATATTACAATTTGACCTAATGGAAGCTTGGCTTGACGTTGCACCCCTGGTCTTTCTCTTTCGTGAATAGACAATAATAGTTTTTAATCACAATTGAATCCGATGTCGATATTGTGAATGGAGTTCCATTAAGTGATCCATAGAGAGTAGTTTGTTTTTTAATGATACTTCAATAAACGCTAATTCAAATTCGGCAAGTGTTTGTTGACTTTGCGCAAAGCGAACCAATCAACGCTCCTATAATACGAACATCAACCGCCTTTTCATAAATAAATCGTGTGCCGTTGGCAGCTCCGAGCTGCCAAACTTCCTATTGAAAGAACTGTAAGTAGTGATTTGAGCTTTTAACGGGAGGATCGATGCTACTGTTTACCTTTCTGCAGTTTATCTTCTAAAAGCAGTCGCGTTAGCACCACATCAAGTAAACAACGCTCTGTATATTTTTCGTTTCATTTTCCCAACTAATTTCCCATTTCTCCTCACTTACCTTATTTCTTTAATCTTTTGGTAGATAGTAATGTATTTGCAAGGCACTTGAAGTATTGAAATTAGGAGAGGAAGGGAAAGATATATGTTGAAGTACAACAGAGTACCATCTTTTCCACGTATTTAACGTTTAGTACTTTAATTGTGGTCTAACAATGGATAATACTCCCATACCTCAAAAACAAACTGACTCGGTGAGTTTAAACTCAACATCTCAGTAACAATCATCAATCATCAACAGGACAAGTTAATCTCTGATGGTCAATACTTCCATTACAGGACAGGATATTCACCTTAAAGAGAAAGCATTCGAGGTTACATCACTATCAGGAGCCCCACAATAAAATGTAAAGCAGGATGAATGAAAAAAAAACACCAGAAATCACAGGAACAGTTAGGAAAAATTCTGTTATTTACACTGCAAAGCAAGAAGATTTGGTCGTGAGATACTTGGGCCACTCAGACACTTGATGGCGCCTCAAAGATCCCTCAAAAAGTCGTTCGAACCATGTAGGAAGACCTGCAAGCACTTCATACTCTAATAGGGGAAGTTCTGTAGGTAAGATTCCCCTACTTTCTACTTCATCTTCCTCTGATTCATAAATGCTATCATCGTCATCTTCATCTGAAGAGGAAAGGTGGTTAAGGCCTAAGAGACGACTAAAGTTGGCCACGCGACGAGACTCCTTTGAAAGTGCTTTTTTACGATGTCGAAGAGAAGAACCATTCACCTCCGTTTCATAATCTGAATTCTGTAATGATAGACCGAAATAAATTAAGTCACAAAAAGTTTGGATCAAAAGTTGTAATAAGATCTTCTTCAAAACCCATACGACAATTTTATACGAACAGATTTGAGCATGTTTCCTATGATAGCAGAACTACAGCACAAAATCTGTAGAGATGAAATTACGCGAGAGGTAGACAAAGATCTAAATGAGTATGAAATAGTGAAATATGGACCAAGTTTCATTTATGAGAACAAGATTGAAAGGAGGCAACCATCTTGACATAATTGCCACTTTGTCTTATGACAGTTATGAACTGCGGTTAAATCGAGCTGATATATTAAGGAATTTCACCTAAGAACAATTAAAGTAAAAAAAAGTGTTGTGGACTATGATAGAAAGTTTGAGTAGTATACCGTTAAAACAATTATCCTTTATTTTAAATTCCTGAGATTTGTGGCTACTTTGAGAGACCATTAAGGCTATAACATCTTCCTAACCACGTAAATATTGCTCTTGTAACGTATGGCTTGATTCGTTCATGCAGTAATGTCGGATCGATTCATAAATAAGAATATTTCACTCTCCGTTCAATCTAAAAATTGCTCTGTTCTGCAATGAAGGCCCTTGAAGAGTATAGCGAACGCGCAAGAAAAGCAGATAGAGACTGAAACTAGCTCCACTCGCTGAGACCGTAACCTGGTTATATTTTCTAGAACATGGATATCATCAGCTTATTTACTAGTTTGTCCGATAAACTGGCCACCTCCTTACGATTAAATCGATATGATTTTGTCTATTTTGCAGTGCCTTATCGCAGATTAAAGTTTTTGAAATTAACGTGTAAATTGAAAATGTTTTGATAACAATTATTTTCTTTTTCGAAAACCCTACAACATTTCATCAAGAAGGATTTGAAATATTTGAATATTACCGTTATCAGACTAAAGAATAAATTAAATTTTACCATAAATATTTACACATCTTAAAAATGCCGATTAACCTTGACACTTAAACACCGTCTAATCGAGTCCAATTGAGCAGGTAAATTTTTGAATTAACGTCAAGACTGATAATTCAAAGATATTGTTTTGGCGAACTAACCTGATCGTACGACCTCGCCTGGCTACCGGGAAGTAGTGGATGATACATATGGAAGTATCTTCGAAAACCATTGATGGCGAACACAGTTCCTCGGCAGTTGACAGGGTTAAAAGTTAATGATACCTTGTTGGAGTGGCCTGAAGGATTAGCGGGGCGAAAAGGTATTCGAGTTGCAGCCTCTAGCGCCCAACCCAACCAATCAGCGTAACGATCCAAGAACAAGCATGCTGGCACGAGTTCAATGCTTGAGTTGCCTCTAGAATGGACAAATAACAGTGATTGATTACGTAACTGCTGAAATAGAATATTTAATTTATCAGAGTTGGAACAGCTACCAACTACAATACAGTACGAGTTTTACCTTGTAAGTGTATTACAAATACTAATAGTTGATGAAGCAAGCAAACAGAGCGACTTTCATTACACTATGACTGAAAGACTAGTTTCAACACTAACCAAATACAGACGCGACAGTGGCCCATGAAGGAAACAAATAAAATTTGTTACAACCGTATTCCATCACCGATTTATTGTCCACTTACTACCGCATTTTGTCATCCATAATACAAAAAAGCTACCATTTTTAGTTGTGATGAGCAACTGCAATATAATAAAAAAATTTTATTACAGCGAATCCTTCCTTTTTGTTACCTACGGTTGCCCCCAGCAATCCAACTCGTCCACTTTGTTAGTATCTTCTCTCACTCCTATCGATTCATATCTTCCATAAACGTGCCCTTGTAGTTTATGTCCTCCTTTCCCATTGTAAACGATTTTCTCTCAGACTTCAAACTTATTTTATAGTAAAATCAGTTATGAACTAAGATAGTTGTAGCATTGTATTAAGATAGTTTCTTTATAGTTACCTCTCAACAACAGCCTATTCTAATGAAGTGTGAGTGTGTGTGTCAGAGAGAGGGAGAGAGAGAATGGAATTCACTAACCTATATCGATAGCAAATTTGATAGAACTGATCAGCCAGTCGTTGACCCAGTGGAGAGGCGTCAGTGCAGAGAAGAATCGTGAGTTGGCCCTTGGGTGAAGAAGAGATTAAACGATCATAAGTGGATGGGGTTAAAACGAGTGACCTGGGTTCCAAATCATCCTTTAACCGACTGAAATTGAGAAAAGAAGGGTAAGAAGATAATAATTAAGGCATTTCAAATAGTGAAAAGAGTAAATATTGTACACTTTACACGAATTGGGCAAAGAAAAAAATTAAGCGACCTTGATTTGCAAAAGAGAAAGATCACAGAAAATTTAGTTTATCCTACTTACTTACGACATCCTTTGTACTTTCCCTAATAAAAGCATTCATGGAAAATTCGTTGTTTTATTTGGGGGTGAAATTTTTACATGTAGGAAGAGAGATGGTTCAACAAGGTTTCCAACTTGATCACTAATGATATCATCACGAAATCATCTTCCAAATATTAATTTTATGAATGAATTTACTTGAACACCATAAACATAGGATTTAAACATACTTGATTGGCGGGGAATGCAAGTTGTTGGGACACTTAGTCCTCAAATCAGACATCACTGGAGTGAAACTCATGCCAGATCGAGAACGTGGAGCCATTTCACTCCATAAATCCCATCCCACTCGATAGACTGCTATCACAGCCAACAAAATGAAAGTGAATCCACTGGTTAGGAAAAAGTCCAACGGATCAGCCCACATACTGAAATGTAGAAAAAAACTAGCTCTAATATCTCTAAATTTCTCTCTACTGATTTTATACAAGTAGAACTTACCCATCAATGTAGGAAAGCGTAAAGTGCATTATGCTTGCAAGTTTCAAACGAATTCTTAACCATAATGGAACGGCAAGCTCATCCACTAAAAGCGATTCCATTTTGGGAAGATAAGCCAACGACCACCCCGCAACATTCGCTTGTAATTCTCTGACATCGTGAGATTTTAGAAAAGCATCAACGGATAGAGAATCCATCACCAATTCAGTTAAAGTTCCTTTCAGCCAATCTGAGGTAAGTGTCCCATTTCTAAAGAGGGGTCTGAAAGCAAGTATTCGAGATGTGATTCTCCAAAGAGCAAGAAGCTGCCCATCAAGATTCATTGATAAATCGAGACAGGAAGAGCATGTAGAAGAATCTGAAATATTATTTAACCAGGCAGCTTGTCGGTCAGCGTAAATATAAGCTGGAGAAAGGAGAGGATAAAAATCTGCAGGCAAATGTTGAGACAGACCAAGAGAAAACTTAAGAGCATGTGATACATGCCCTAAAACCATGCGGAATTGATCCAATTTGAAGGCATTTTGTTCACGGTTTTTCGAGTTTAGAAGAAGGACAATGCAAAGATGACGGTGACCAGTATGCCCGTCCATGGAGTTATCTTTGGTTTCAGCTGCAGAGGCAAAGGCAGAAGAAGGCGGATGGCCGTCAGCGGGACAGAGATCGAGAAAGAATGAGGAAGATAGAATTCTAGGAACAGCTAGACGGCTATTCTTCATGTAGATGTCATCGAGGATATGTCGAGGAATTTGGTGATCAGAGTAAGAAATGACTGGCTCATCAGGGTTCTCATGGAAAACCAAGATACTCTCCTAAAATATGGAAAAGAATTGCTTCACTATCTCAAATCGTGCGTTAAGAGCAATCAATTATTACGAGAGACCATAAACAGACTCAATACGAGCGCACACGAATGTTTACATATCTTCCACTAAAATTTAATGTTTGGCAAAATGTTGCTTAAAAGTTGGAGGAGAAGTCTTTTGATAATATGATCAAATAGAATTAGTTGCATAAGTACATAAAGCAGCATATCTAGATAGCGAAAACCAGTTTGCAACTTCTTAACTCTAAAAATAATCGATCAGCGCGGCCTTCACCCAATCTTTTAAATACAGCAAATTTCCCATTAAGAGATTTTAATCTAATTGAATGATGGAAGGAATACAACTAAAGATTAACCAAGATTATGCAGTCTAAAGGTGACAAGCTCACAACTGACATAGAATCACCTGTTGATTGATGGCAAAATTAGTAATCGTATTAGATACATTACAAAATGGGGCAATTTTGCACTTAGCACAAATTGAGAAAAATATTAACTATAACCCACATCATTTGTGGAAATTCGATACAGTTGATCTAATTTGCAGAATTCTAAGCAATATTGTAGGAAATAAGCTTTCTTAAAAAGATGGTTACATTATATACAAGCACTAATTCAGTTCGAAAGATGTCATTTTCTGACCATTCATTGTACCACAGAAATAAGTTGAAACAACTGAAATTTCGCTTAACCAAGAGGCAACTAAAATCTCACAGGAACATAATGATAAGTGCAGGTCAGCGTAAACAGAAATTTTCAAATTGATTAAACAGTATTAACACGAGTAGAGGGGGGATATCTTGAAGCCAGTTGCGAGAAATTCAGTATTCCGATTGGACATCCGCACCACTTAATGAGTTTTAATCTTGAGACCAATGAGAAGACGTGAGAAGTAACCACTTTTACACATATTCACTTGAGTCAGACGTAACCAATTTGATTACCATAGATAAATGACTAACTGTTATAATAAAACTGGATAAGAATGAGTCGCAGAATGCGAATAAACTATTAAGATGGTTCCAGAAATCTATTCCTGTCCAAGAAAATTAAGTAAAAAAGTTACACATCTCCCTTATAAACATAAAAATTCAAAATAATGCATCCCCATCCCCACAGAGTTTAGCAGAACAGTCTGATTCAAAAGATACCATTAAAGTGAGCAAAGTCAAAAGTGTAATTATATATCGGTCAAAGGGGTGTGCAATAGACTTACCGCCACGTGGTGCATCCTGGGCAACGTATA